ATTGGAAGCCTACTCGAGTCTCCTCTCCAATGCCAGAAATACAGCTTCATGGTGTAACATTAGAAAATGTTGACCATTTCCACTCCCTTGGCAGCCACCTCTCCACAAAAGTCAACATTGACACTGAAATACAACACCACCTGAGCTCTGCGAGTGCAGCATTTTTCCAAATGAAGCAGAGAGTGTTTGAGGACCAGGACATCCATAGGGACACCAAGGTGCTTGTTTATAAAGCTATTGCCCTCCCAACCCTGTTATACACCTGCGAGACGTGGACTGTTTACAGACGTCACATGCAACTCCTAGAACGAATTCCATCAGCGTTACCTCCTGAAAATTCTGCAAATCTCTTGGGAAGACAAGCGGAAAAATGTCAGTGGCTGGAAGAAGCAAAGATGCCCAGCATTGAAGTGATGGTCTTCCACCATCAACTCCACTGGACCAGCCACATTGTCCAGAAGCCTGACCCGTCTCCCAAAGCAGTTGCTCTACTCCGAAACTCAAGAATGGAAAACGGAATGTTGGTGGCAGGAAAAGAAGATTTAAAGATGGGCTCAAAACCAACCTTAAAAACTGTGGCATAGACACTGAGAATTGGGAAGCCCTGGCCTTTGAGCGCTCCAGCTGGAGGTCAGCTGTGACCAGCAGTGCTGTAGAATTTGAAGAGGCACAAATGGAGGGCGAAAGAGAGAAATGTGCCAAGAGGAAGGTGTGTCAAGCCAACCCCGACCGGGACCACCTTCCACCTGGAAACCAATGCCCTCACTGCGGGAGAAGATGCAGATCAAGAATAGGGCTCCACAGTCACCTATGAACGCAACAGTACACTGATCTTGGAAGACTATCTTACTCGGACAATGAGGGATCGCCTAGGTAAGTAAGTAAAGTAACAACATTTCCTTAAGGTAATGCCTTTGAAATACTGTTGCAGCCAGAAAAAAAAATGGTGGCAGAGCCTGCACCATTACAGCTGGCCAGAATAGCCAGAACCCATTTTGAAAAATCAATCCATGCACAACCCCAATGATGGCTCGAGAGCAGTACGTGTGAAAAAGATCTTGGAGTCCTCGTGGACAACAAGTTAAACATGAGCCAACAATGTGATGTGGCGGCAAAAAAAGCCAATGGGATTTTGGCCTGCATCAAGAGGAGCCTACTGTCTAGATCTAGGGAAGTCATACCCCTCTATTCCACTTTGGTTAGACCACATCTGGAATATTGTGTCCAATTCTGGGCACCGCAACTCAAGAGAGATATTGACAAGCTGGAATGTGTCCAGAGGAGGGCGACTAAAATTATCAAGGGTCTGGAAAACAAGCACTATGAGGAGAGGCTTAAGGAGCTGGGCATGTTTAGCCTGAAGAAGAGAAGGCTGAGAGGAGACATGATAGCCATGTATAAATATGTGAGAGGAAGCCACAGGGAGGAGGAGGGAGCAAGCTTGTTTTCTGCTACCTTGGAGACTAGGACGTGAAACAATGGCTTCAAACTACGACAAAGGAGATTCCATCTGAACATGAGGAAGAACTTCCTGGCTGTGAGAGCCGTTCAGCAATGGAACTCTCTGCCCCGGAGTGTGGTGCAGGCTCCTTCTTTGGAAGCTTTTAAACAGAGGCTGGATGGCCATTTGTCAGGAGTAATTTAAATGCAATATTCCTGCTTCTTGGCAGAATGGGGTTGGACTGAATGGCCCATGAGGTCTCTTCCAACTCTTTGATTCTATTATTCTAAGAAGAATAAGAAGTACAGTCTGCTTTCCTTGAGGTTTTTAAGCAGCTGGATGGCCATCTGTTGGAAGGGCTTGGATTGTGCCCTCCTGGTTGGCAGTAGGGGGTGGACTGGATGGCCCTTTGGGGTCTTTTCCAACTCGAGGATTCTATGATCCTATGTAGAGATGCAATTCTCCGGGCCATTTAGGGCTCGAAATGTCATCTTGAATTCAATCATTCCATGAAAATACATTTCCTCGCTAGCTTAGTTGTTGTTACTAGAAATCAGAGTTGGGTGCAAAGCTTTCGACTTATGCAACCCAACCAGCCTGTTTGCTTTCCTCCTTCCCACTCAAACCCCAACAGCTGGCCAGCACCTCGTGGGAGTTAATAATTAAAGTGCCAATTTACGTCCTTGAACCCGGAAAGAGTCATTTAAAAGGCCGGATAACAAGCAACATAACAATTTGGCTTGTTAAATTCTCAGAAAGGCACTTTATCATGAGTTTAAATGGATGGCTCCAGAGACATTCATGCAGAATAAAAGAAAAGGACGACTTAGGGGCTGTTTGCATTTTCCCGTTGTTTACATTGGGATGAACTCGCAGATATGAAACACTTGGGAGTTTAGATGGACGGCTCCAGATACACTTATGCAGAATATTCCAAAGTAAACCAACATTTTCATTAACTTCCATTTCAGAGAAAAATTGAATATAGAAGTATTTTGAGTACATACAACTCCAAAAAGGATGCATATTCACGTTAACTGCTACTACCATTTGAGTGTTGAATCATGACTCTAGAGACCAAAGTTTGATTCCCTGCTCTGCCATTGAAACCCATTGGGTTACCTTGAGTAAGTCACATACTCTCAGCCCCAGAAAATCCCATCCAAGATTAGCCTTAAGGTCACCATAAATTGGAAATGGCTTAAAGGCACACAACAACAAAATGTATCCCTAGGAATTGTAGCTCTTGTACTCTACAACATTTTTTCTTTCTAAAGCAGTGGTTCCCAACCTGTGGTCCATGGACCACTAGTAGAATCATAGAATCATAGAATCAAAGAGTTGGAAGAGACCTCCTGGGCCATCCAGTCCAACCCCATTCTGCCAAGAAGCAGGAATATTGCATTCAAATCACCCCTGACAGATGGCCATCCAGCCTCTGTTTAAAAGCTTCCAAAGAAGGAGCGTCCACCACACTCCGGGGCAGAGAGTTCCACTGCTGAACGCTCTCACAGTCAGGAAGTTCTTCCTCATGTTCAGATGGAATCTCCTCTCTTGTAGTTTGAAGCCATTGTTCCGCGTTCTAGTCTCCAAGGAAGCAGAAAACAAGCTTGCTCCCTCCTCCCTGTGGCTTCCTCTCACATATTTATACATGGCTATCATATCTCCTCTCAGCCTTCTCTTCTTCAGGCTAAACATGCCCAGATCCTTAAGCTGCTCCTCATAGGGCTTGTTCTCCAGACCCTTGATCATTTTAGTCGCCCTCCTCTGGACACATTCCAGCTTGTCAATATCTCTCTTGAATTGTGGTGCCCAGTAGTCTGCAAGAATGAAAATACGGTCTGAAGCCTCACTATTACTACAATGTTGCTTCGAAATCACATGGCAACTAGAGCGACAGGTCTCGTGAAACCCTCTCATAGTGCCGAGGCAATGGGGATGTCAGGAGAGGAGAGGCTGATTCCCATGAAATATTCCTACTAACACATCAGCTCTAGACTATTAGATATGGTTTTCTGTAAGCGAGCAGATTGTGACTACTGGTTGGCATATGTTCTGTATCAGAAACTAGAGCTAATGTGGTCTATCCAATGCAATTTTCTGTATCAGCACCTCAAATAACCAAACCAAATCTAAAGTTGACCAAAAACTGATTCATAACCCTTTTGGTGCTAATGTTGGAAAATGGTCCCCGGTCAAAGTGGTCCCTGGTCAAAGTGGTCTATGGTCAAGTGGTCCCTGGTCAAAGTGATCCCTGGTCATATGGTCATCTGGTCAAGTGGTCCCTGGTCAAAGTGGTCCCTGGTCATATGGCCCCTGATTATTTATTTACATTATTTATATCCCGCCCATATCAGCCCGCAGGCGACTCAGATCAAGTTGTCCCTGGTCAAAGTGGTCCTTGGTCAAAGTGGTCCCTGATCAAAGTTGTTCCTGGTCATATGGTCCCTGGTCAAAGTGGTCCTTGGTCAAAGTGGTCTCTGGTCATGTGGTCCCTGGTCAAGTGGTCCCTGGTCAAGCATCCCTGGTCAAAGTGGTCCTTGGTCAAAGTGGTCCTTGGCCAAAGTGGTCTCTGGTCATGTGGTCCTTGGTCAAGTGGTCCCTGGTCAAGTGGTCCCTGGCCAAAATGGTCCCTGGTCAAAGTAGTCACTGGTCAAGTGGTCCCTGGCCAAAATGGTCCCTGGTCAAAGTGGTCCCTGGTCATGTGGTCCCTGGTCAAAGTGGTCCCTGGTCAAGTGGTCCATGGTCATGTGGTCCCTGGTCATGTGGTCCCTGGTCAAGTGGTCCCTGGTCAAGGTGGTCCCTGGTCAAGTAGTAACTGATCAAGTGGTCCCTGGTCAAGTGTCCCTGGTCAAAGTGGTCCTTGGTCAAAGTCATCCCTGGTCATGTGGTCCCTGGTCAAGTGGTCCCTGGCCAAAATGGTCCCTGGTCAAGTGGTAACTGGTCAAAGTGGTCCCTGGTCAAGTCGTTCCTGGTCAAAGTGGTCCTTGGTCAAAGTCATCCCTGGTCATGTGGTTCCTGGTCAAAGTGGTCCCTGGTCAAGTGGTAACTGGTCAAAGTGGTCCCTGGTCAAGTTGTTCCTGGTCAAGTGATAACTGGTCAAGTGGTCCCTGGTCAAAGTGGTCCCTTGGTCAAGGGGCCCTTGGCCAAGTGGTAACTGGTCAAAAAAGATTAAGAACCTCTGTTCTAAACTGACAAGGCAGGCAACCTTATCCTAAAGCAGTGGTTCTCAACTTGTGGGTCCCCAGATGTTTTGGCCTTCAACTTCTAGAAACCCTAACAGCTGGTAAACTGTGTTATTTATTTATTTATTTGCTATATTTATATACCGTTCCTCTCAGCTTGCAGGCAACTTGGGGTGGTTCACAGTCGGTACTAAGACCATAAAATACAATTAAAAACATTAAAATAATATGAAACCATAGCAAAATCAATAACAAACATATACCATTAACGTCGCCTAGTAATAATAATGATAATGGTCTTCCTGTGTTGTAGAAGAAATGCTAAACAGTATTGTCCATTTATGACCAATTTCTTTTTTTCTTGCCTTTCCTAGCACTATGGAGAATGCCACCCTCTTCCTTCTGTCCTTGAACTCTAGCGACAACTCCTCTGACGTGGACTGCGGCAAGGAAGACCATCCCTATAAATGTAAGTTTGACGAGGACTTCAAGTACATCCTCCTGCCCGTCTCCTACAGCATCGTCTTCGTGGTGGGCCTCTGCCTCAACCTCCTGGCCCTCTACATCTTCATCTTCCGCATCAAGACCTGGAATGCCTCCACCACTTACATGTTCCACCTGGCTGTCTCCGACACCCTCTACGTGGTTTCGCTGCCACTCCTGGTCTACTACTACGCCATGGAGGACAACTGGCCCTTCAGCGTGGGCTTGTGTAAGATCGTGCGCTTCCTCTTCTACACCAACCTCTACTGCAGCATCCTCTTCCTCCTCTGCATCAGCGGCCACCGCTTCATGGGCATCTGCCTCCCACTGAAGTCCTTAGACTGGGGCCAGGTCCGTTACGCCCGCTGGATATCCGGCATCGTTTGGTTGGTGGTCATCGCCTGCCAGTCTCCGGTGCTCTTCTTCGTCACCACCAGCCAGCGGTGTGACAAAATCACTTGCCACGACACCTCGGCCCAAGAGCTCTTTGGCCAGTTTATCATCTACAGCTCGATCATGTTGGTCGTTCTCTTCTGCATCCCCTTTCTGCTCATCATCATCTGCTACTGCTTGATGGCCCGCCGGCTTCTTCAGCCCACCCGAGGCATGACCCGCATGTCCAGCTCCAAGAAGAAGTCGGTCAAGATGATCATCATCGTCTTGTTGGTCTTCATCGTGTGCTTCTTGCCCTTCCACGTCACCCGCACCTTGTACTACTCCTTCCGCAACTGGGACTTGAGTTGCCCCACTCTCAACGCCATTAACTTGGCGTACAAAGTCACCCGGCCCTTGGCCAGTACCAACAGTTGCCTGGACCCTATCTTGTACTTTTTGGCAGGGCAAAAATTTGTGAAATTCGCCTGCCCGCAAGCGCCGGCCAAGGACTCCAACCAAACTGACTCCAACAATACGTCCAATTGCCACACGCGGCGGACAAGAGACAATTTAGCCATGAAAGCCAAGACTGTGGCGTTTTAGTCGGTGACATTTCAGACTTCCGCCGCTCTGTAAAGTATTACCAAGTTACCTAAAGAGGTTGGAGTCCTGTCCTGAAAGAAGGATCCGGCCGCCGAGACAATGGGAATAGATTTCCTGCCCATATCAGCAGGAAGCGGTAAAAAATGTATATGTGTGAACGTGAAGGATGGAAAGAAGATTCACTGCTAATCATTTCCTACCCCGCAAAAATGGGATTCTCAGCATTTGAGAAATGGAGTCAGGAAGACTAATATAGAAGTGTGAATTCTGTAGTTTTCTCCCAGTATTTGCCCATTCTGATAATTTGAGGAAATAACTCTACATAGTAATATCCAAGGCTGGATATACAGGGCCATATAATGCAATTTCAAACTGTATTAAATGGTTGGTGTAGGCCATATATCAGGCATGGGCAAACTTCAGCTCTCCAGATATTTTGGACTGGCTGTTAGGAATTATGGGAGTTGAAGTCCAAAACACCTGGAGGGCTTTTTTTTGTCATGTCAGGAGTGACTTGAGAAACTGCAAGTCGCTTCTGGTGTGAGAGAATTGGCCGTCTACAAGGACGTTGCCCAGAGGACGCCCGGATGATTTGATGTTTTTATCATCCTTGTGGGAGGCTTCTCTCATGTSTCCRTATGAGGAGCTGGAGCTGATAGAGGAACCTCTTGGAACCTCTAGGTCCTCCARCATGACTCTAGGTCAGYTTCTGCARGAAGGAGAGAACATCYCTCTTGGAAYMTCTAGRTCCTCCARCATGACTCTAGGTCAGCTTCTGCAGGAAGGAGAGAACATCTCTCTTGGAATATCTAGATCCTCCAACATGACTCTAGGTCAGCTTCTGCAGGAAGGAGAGAACATCTCTTGGAATMTCTAGRTCCTCCAACATGACTCTAGGTCAGCTTCTGCAGGAAGGAGAGAACATCTCTCTTGGAATCTCTAGGTCCTCCAACATGACTCTAGGTCAGCTTCTGCAGGAAGGAGAAAACATTCCTCTTAGAACCTCTAGGTCCTTCAACATGACTCTAGGTCAGCTTCTGCAGGAAGGAGAGAACATCTCTCTTGGAATCTCTAGGCCGTCCAACATGACTCTAGGTYAACTTCTGCAGGAAGGAGAAAACATCTCTCTTGGAATCTCTAGGTCCTCCAACATGACTCTAGGTCAGCTTCTGCAGGAAGGAGAGAACATCTCTCTTGGAACCTCTAGGTCCTCCAACATGAYTCTAGGTCAGCTTCTGCAGGAAGGAGGTTGACCATCCAGTCATTAGAGATCCTTAGAGGGATCTGTGAGTGATCCAACCCACCAAAAGTCAAACCTGCCAATAGGGAAGGCCAACCTTATTTTGGCAATTGTACAATGGAGACATTCAGTTCAGAGTTGCTCAAGGGTCACCATTTCCAAGAAACCACAAGACTGGAGCCATTGAAGCAATGGCATTTCTCTTCCTTGTTGACGCACTCATTCAACAACGAATGAAGTACATCCCCTTGATTTGGTCCTAACCACAAGTGGATCACAATCTGGCACTTGTAATTTTGTGGGTGGCGTGCACTTATTCGTCAGTGCCGCCATTGTATCTCTTGATTCACTAAGGTTGCCGAAACAGCCTCTTTTCATTCTCCATTGTTCTGTGTGACGGTAAATAGGTGCATTGACACATCCATTGTCCGTTGCCTAATGCTGGCATTTAACAAAATGGCAATGCTGCGCAACTACAGTGTAACTACATGGCTCTGGATTCACACTACGCAAGCACAACAAAGAGTACATCTCCACTATAGAATTAATACAGTTTGGCACTGGTTTAGCTGCCATGGCTCCATGCTATGCAATACTGAGAGATCTAGTTTTGCAAGGTCATTAACCTTATCTTCCAAAGGGTGTGCATACCTCCCAAACTACAGTTAGACTCATAGAATCATAGAGTTGGAAGAGAACTCGTGGGCCATCCAGTCCAACCCCATGCCAAGAAGCAGGAAATCCATTCAAAGCACCCTCAACAGGTGGTAATCCAGGCTCTGTTTAAAAACCTCCATAAAAGGAGCCTCCGCCACACTCCAGGGCAGAGAGTTCCACTGCTGAACAGCTCTCACGTCCAGAAAGGTCTTCCTAATGTTCAGCTGGAATCTCCTTTCCTGTAGTTTGAAGACATTGCTCCATTGCGCCCTAGTCTCCAGGCCAGCAGAAAACATGCTCCCTTCTCCCTATGACATATTCCCCTCACATGTTTTTACATGGCTATCATGTCTCCTCTCAGTCTTCACTTCTGCTGGCTAAACAAGCCCAGCTCTTTAAGCCGCTCCTCATAGGGCTTGTTCTCCAGTTCCTTGATCATTTTTAGTTGCCCTCCTCTGGACACATTCCAGCAACATCTCCCTTCAATTGTGGTGCCCAGAATTGGACACCGTATTCCAGATGTGGCCTAACCAAGACAGAATAGAGCATGGGGAGCATGACTTCCCTGGATCCACAGCACTGAGCCATGGCACTTCAAGTGGTGTCAAACTACGTTAATTCGACAGTGTAGATGCACCTTCAGATGCAGTTTTTGCTTTTCCAGAGGTCTTTTGCTGAACATATTTGTAGATATTGAACTTTTTTGTGGAAGGAATGGATGGATATCGCTATGTTCATCCACAGCTTTTGAAACTTCTTGGTTTGACTACTGTAAAGCACTTTATGCAGGGCTGCCACTGAAGGCAACTCGTTGAAGTCTTTGATGCTCATCCTCATTGAGAGAAGGAAACCTCTAGGTCAGGCATGGGCAAACTTGGGCCCTCCAGGTGTTTTGGACTTCAACTCCCACAATTCCTAACAGCCTCAGGCCCTTTCCTTTTCTCCTTCAGATGCTTAAGCGGCTGAGGGGGAAAAGGAAAGGGCCTGAGGCTGTTAGGAATTGTGGGAGTTGAAGTCCAAAACATTTGGAGGGCCCAAGTTTGCCCATGCCTGTTCTAGGTGCATCTATATAGTAGAAATAGTGCAGTTTGACACCACTTTTACGACCCCAGCTGAATCCTATGGCATCCTTAGAGTTCTGGTTTGGTAAGATGCCAATACTCTTTGGGAAAGAAGCTCTTGTAAAACTACAGCTCCCGTGATTCCATAGCATTGGTCCATGGCAATTCAAGTAGTGTCAAACTACATTAATTCCACAGTGTAGATGCACAACTTTACACTGTAATGGCTCCAAGGCATTGGAGTGTCCAGCCTTTTGAAATGAATCACTTCCCCTCTCTTCTTTGTATAGCCGACCCAGCCAAACACTCCCCAAATTATCCATATTTATTTCAGCAAGCTTGTGATTGAATTGGTCGTTTTCCGCTCTATTTGTGTAATGGTTGTTTGCATCTTGTCTTCTAATTTCAAAATCTGAATGAAGTTGTGTTTCAACCTGGTACGCTGCGTCAAGAAGAAAAGTAGCCTACTGACAATTTAAATAAAATTATTATTGTTGTTATTGTTGTGTTGTCGAAGACTTTCATGGCCGGAATCACAGGGTTGCAGTGAGTTTTCCGGGCTATATGGCCATGTTCCAGAAGCACTCTCTCCTGACGTTTCGCCCACATCTATGGCCGGCATCCTCAGAGCTTGAGGAGTCTATTGGAAACTATGCAAGTGGGGGTTATAAAAGTTTGTTATTGTTGTGTTGTGGAAGGCTTTCATGGCCAGAATCACTGGGTTGCTGTGAGTTTTCCGGGCTGTATGGCCATGTTCCAGAAGCACTCTCTCCTGACGTTTCGCCCGCATCTATGGCAGGCATCCTCTGAGCTTGAGGAGTCTTTTGGAAACTAGGCAAGTGGGGTGTATAGATCTGTGGAATGATGTCCACAGATGAATGCATTTCCGACAGAAGAACGGAGCACCCCGACAGAAGAACGGAGCACCACAACGGAGCATTGTATATCAAGTTGGATAATCTGAAGACTAACAACACTGGGGTTTTAAGGGCACATGGCTTCTCCTCTAGACCCTTTCAATGGCTTAGAACAGCATTTCTGAACCTGGAGGTCAAGACCCGGGGGGGGGGGGTGTCATGAGGGGGTGTCAGAGGGGTCACCAAATACCACCAGAAAACAAAGTATTTTCTGTTGGAGGTTCTGTGTGGGAAGTTTGGCCCCATTCTATCATTGGTGAGGTTCAGAATGCTCTTTGATTGTAGGTGAACTATAAATCCCAGCAACTACAATGCCCAAATTTCAAGGTCTATATTCTCCCAAACTCCACCAGTGTTCATATTTGGGCATATTGAGTATCCGTGCCAAGTTTGGTCCAGATCCATCATTGTTTGAGTACACAGTGCTCTCTGGATGTAGGTGAACTACAATTCCAAAACTCAAGGTCAATGCCCATCAAATCCTTCCAGTATTTTCTGTTGGTTGTGGGAGTTCTGTGTGCCAAGTTTGGTTCAATTCCATCACTGGTGGAGTTCAGAATGCTCTTTGATTGTAGGTGAACTATAGATCCCAGCAACCACAACTCCCAGACGTCAAGGTCTATTTCCCCCCAAACTCCACCAGTGTTCATATTTGGGCATATTGAGTATCCGTGCCAAGTTTGGTCCAGATCCATCATTGTTTGAGTCCACAGTGCTCTCTGGATGTAGGTGAACTACAATTCCAAAACTTCAAGGTCAATGTCCATCAAATCCTTCCAGTATTTTCCATTGGTTGTGGGAGTTCTGTGTGCCAAGTCTGGTTCAGTTCCATCGTTGGTGGATTTCACAATGCTCTTTGATTGTTGGTGAACTATAAAGGCGAGAACTGAGGCACTTCTTCTTTACCACCTCCCTCTCCTTCTTAAGTTTTAACATAACTCCCTGAAAAATGTCCAATGCCCTTTGAAATCTGAAATTTCCTCCCAGCTCCCCATTCCTCCAACCTGAGTCCAATAACTTCCTCGGGCTGTGTCTCTAACCAAGATGAGCATTTCCAGCATCCTGACAGGTGGCTTCCCATTTGTCACAGTTTATTTTGGTAACTTAATGCACAGAGAAAGGAAATGCGTAGAAAATGAAGATGTGATCATGAGTTCCAATTGCAACCCTGTATGTCTCCGTGTTGTTGTTAATTCGTTCAGTCACTTCTGACTCTTTGTGACCTCATGAACCAGCCCACGCCAGAGCTCCCTGTTGGCCATAGCCATGCCCAGCTCCTTCAAGGTCAAGCCAGTCCTTTCAAGGATACCATCCATAGACCTTGCCCTTGGTCGGCCCCTCTTCCTTTTGCCTTCCATTTCCCCCAGCATCATTGTATTCTCCAAGCTCTCCTGTCTTCTCATGATGTGGCCAAAGGACTTCATCTTTGCCTCTAATATCCTTTCCTCCAATGAGCAGTCAGGCTTTATTTCTTGAAGTATTGACTGGTTGGATCTTCTCGCAGTCCAAGGCACTCTCAGAATTTCCTCCAACACCACAGTTCAAAAGCATCTATCTTCCTTCGGTCAGCCTTCCCTAAGGTCCAGCTCTCACATCCTAGGTACTACAGGGAATACCATTGCTTTACTATGCGGATCTTTGTTGCCAGTCTGATGTCTCTACTCATCACTATTTTATCGAGATTGGTCATTGCTCTCCTCCCAAGAAGGAACATCTTCTGATTTCCTGGCTGCAGTCTGCGTCTGCAGTATCTTGTACCTAGAAATACAAAGTCTGTCCTGCCTCCACGTTTTCTCCCTCTATTTCCCAGTTATCAATCAGTCTGGTTGCCATAATCTTG